TTCCTGCTTTGCATCAAGATGAGGTAACAGCTGATTTCATTCATGCAAACGACCTTTGATAGATAAAACCAGAACCCCCCCCCCCCCCCCCCCCCCCCCCTACAAAGTCCAGACAGCAAACGGGGTGACTCGTCACAATCACCGCACGGCTAATTTAAACAAGATTATGTAATCCATCTACAAAAACTCCTCTGTGAATCAGGAAAACACGTTTACTCCACCCAGGTTGAGATCGGCTTTAGTCCACGTCACAAATTTACAAAAAACTCGAATTCCCGGAGAAAAAGTGTCCCAAGTTATTATTCCTACAAAGCAACATCGATGGGACGATGTGAGCTGTCCTGTGGTTTGTAATTCGGGAAAAGATACGTTAAATATTTAAACACCGTGGGATTAACAAGAAAACAGAGGCTTTATGCAGCTCCGTGACATAATTTATAATCAAACTCAAACTGCTTCAACTACATCTATAAAATATATTTCAGTGCAGCTCGGCACTCCATCAGACTGCTGAGGTGAAAACAAATGTTGTGATTCCAGCACAGAATGGAACTAAAATCTTTCGACACTCAAATTCTTCACTGCAGAGATGAGTTAGTTTCAAGATCTGTATTATTAAGCATCAAGTCTGAGCTAAAGCTACGCACTGCTAACGTCTGGTGTACGGTGAGTTTCTGAGATTAGGTTAATAACCTGTTAGCATTACAAGCACGTCGGCATACATTAGTTAAATGGGTTACCGGTAAGGCTGCTGAAGTCCAGCTTTGAACCTGCAACCCCTATGCTGCAAGGCAAGCCTGTTAGCATTACTAGCACATGTTAGCATCAAGGTACCAGAAAAGCTGCAGCCCAGCTTTGAACCTGCAACCTCTATGCTGCAAGGCATAAGCCTGTTAGCATTACTAGCACCTGTTAGCATTAAGGTACCAGAAAAGCTGCAGCCCAGCTTTGAACCTGCAAACTCTATGCTGCAAGGCAAGCCTGTTAGCATTACTAGCACCTGTTAGCATTAAGGTACCAGAAAAGCTGCAGCCCAGCTTTGAACCTGCAACCTTTATGCTGCAAGGCAAGCATGTTAGCATTACTAGCACCTGTTAGCATTAAGGTACCATAAAAGCTGCAGCCCAGCTTTGAACCTGCAACCCCTATGCTGCAAGGCAAGCCTGTTAGCATTACTAGCACATGTAGCATTAAGGTGCCAGAAAAGCTGCAGCTCAGCTTTGAACCTGCAACCTCTATGCTGCAAGGCAAGCCTGTTAGCATTACTAACACATGTAGCATTAAGGTACCAGAAAAGCTGCAGCCCAGCTTTGAACCTGCAACCTCTATGCTGCAAGGCAAGCATGTTAGCATTACTAGCACATGTTAGCATTAAGGTACCAGAAAAGCTGCAGCCCAGCTTTGAACCTGCAACCCCTATGCTGCAAGGCAAGCCTGTTAGCATTACTAGCACCTGTTAGCATTAAGGTACCAGAAAAGCTGCTGCCCAGCTTTGAACCTGCAACCTTTATGCTGCAAGGCAAGCATGTTAGCATTACTAGCACCTGTTAGCATTAAGCTACCAGAAAGCAGCAGCCCAGCTTTGAACCTGCAACCTCTATGCTGCAAGGCAAGCCTGTTAGCATTACTAGCACATGTTAGCATTAAGGTACCAGGAAGGCTGCAGCCCAGCTTTGAACCTGCAACCTCTATGCTGCAAGGCAAGCCTGTTAGCATTACTAGTGCATTAAGGTACCAGAAAGGCTGCAGCCCAGCTTTGAACCTGCAACCTATATGCTGCAAGGCAAGCCTGTTAGCATTACTAGCACATGTTAGCATTAAGGTACCAGAAAAGCTGCAGCCCAGCTTTGAACCTGCAACCTCTATGCTGCAAGGCAAGCATGTTAGCATTACTAGTGCATTAAGGTACCAGAAAAGCTGCAGCCCAGCTTTGAACCTGCAACCCCTATGCTGCAAGGCAAGCCTGTTAGCATTACTAGCACATGTTAGCATTAAGGTACCAGAAAAGCTGCAGCCCAGCTTTGAACCTGCAAACTTTATGCTGCAAGGCAAGCGTGTTAGCATTATTAGCACATGTTAGCATTAAGGTACCAGAAAAGCTGTAGCCCAGCTTTGAAGCTGCAACCCCTATGCTGCAAGGCAAGCCTGTTGGCATTACTAGCACATGTAGCATTAAGGTACCAGAAAAGCTGCAGCCCAGCTTTGAACCTGCAACCTCTATGTTGCAAGGCAAGCCTGTTAGCATTACTAGCACATGTTAGCATTAAGGTACCAGAAAACCTGCAGCCCAGCTTTGAACCTGCAACCCCTATGCTGCAAGGCAAGCATGTTAGCATTATTAGCACATGTTAGCATTAAGGTACCAGAAAAGCTGCAGCCCAGCTTTGAAACTGCAACCCCTATGCTGCAAGGCAAGCCTGTTAGCATTACTAGCACCTGTTAGCATTAAGGTACCAGAAAAGCTGTAGCCCAGCTTTGAACCTGCAACCTCTATGCTGCAAGGCAAGCCTGTTAGCATTACTAGCACATGTTAGCATTAAGGTACCAGAAAAGCTGCAGCCCAGCTTTGAACCTGCAACCTCTATGCTGCAAGGCAACACCCTTGTACTTTTATTTTGCGAAGTATTAACATGATGTTAAAAATAAACAAAACAGAACAATGAGCAGAAATCTTCTGGTTTGCAGGAACAAAATTTAAGAGTTAGAAGTTTTATTTACAAGTAAGACATTTGATTCTGCGCAGCTTCAAACCAGTAAATGCTCAGACGCATGGCCTGCAGCTCTAAAGTTACATTTGTGCAAATGCAAAAACCTTTTTTAATGTCCTTGTTAGAATCATTTTGAGCGTGAAACATAAATTCAGAACAAAGTTACAATAAACAATAATTTGCTGCTGTTATTTTCAGCAAATACAACCTGACTAATAATCAGAATAATTGTAGGTTATTTTTGTTTGTACTGGTTGAGAGAGGCTATTATCAGCGAGCTGTGGCTCCGACTGCATTATGACTGCCTGCTTGGTATTTCAGGAATGCACACTGATGGTTACACTCATCCCTAAATTGGTCAGGATGAGAAGTGTCATCAGAAAAACTAAAACACATAATGCAAATGCAGGATCAAAAACAAATGTCAGTCAGATGATTATGGGTTGGCGTTTCATAATCTCCATACCTTATCTTAAGGTTATTTTACTGTGTTTGATTTTTTTTCCTCCCAAACCTGAAATGATTCGACGTTTTCCCACAGCCGGCCCGTAGCAGAAGTTGTTGGGCAAAGAGAATTCCTCTGAACCTCAGGGGATCATCCATTATTTAAAACCACATCTAAATCTATTCCACTTAAAAAGAGGCTGAATACGCTTTACTTGTAACCGGCACTTGAGTGATTCTCCTCCAAGAAGGATTTAATGTCAGGCCACCTTTTTGTTTTTAAAACCCCACAAACTGTTGACGTGGGAGCCTCCAAAACCTCAAGCTAAAAGGAGCCGTGGCTCATTTTTTCAAGAACTTTAAAAAAATGCCTTTTTTTTCCACAAACATCCTTGGAAACATGGTACGGTTTCTAAAAATGCCTTGATCCACTTAAAAATGCAGAAAACAATCACAAAACGCTGCAGTAACCATGCCAGGCCTGCATGTGGCACTGTAATGCCACCCTCAATAATACAAGAAAAACAGCAAACAAGGGCTGCGTCCCAATTCCGGGGATGCATCCTTCCAAGTCCACATTAAGGTGGCCTACATCACCTTCAATTCAATTCAAAACTACTTGATTAATCCCAGAGGGAAATTGATTGCTGTAGTAGCTCAGAATAATAATAATAATCAAGTCATCAAAGAGTTGTTGTTATTATAATGGCTGTTGGCAGGAAGGATCTCCAGTAGCGGTCAGTGTTGCAGCCAAACTGAAGAAGCCTCTGACTGAAGACACTCTTCCGTTGTCAGACAGTCTTGTGAAGAGAACGCTCAGGGTTGTCCATCATTTTCTTGATTCTCTGGAGAATCCTTCTTTGCATCATCTCCTCCAGTGGTTCCACAGTCGTCCCCAGAACAGAACCAGCCTTTTTTATTAGGCTGTTGAGCCTTTTCAGGTCCCTGCTTCTGATGCTGCTACCCCAACAGACGATGGCTGAAGAGATTACACTCTCAACAACAGACTTGTAGAAGATCTGCAGCATCTTGCTACAGACATTGAAGGACCTAAGCGTCCTCAAGAAGTGCAGTCTGCTGTGTCCCTTCTTGTAAACGGCTTCGCTGTTCTTTCTCCAGTCCAGTCTGTTGTCCAGGTGAACTCCAAGGTGTTTGTATTCCTGAACCATCTCCACTTCTTCTCCCATGATGGAAACAGTGTTTGACTCCACCCTGTTTCTTCTGAAGTCTAAAATCATCTCCTTTGTTTTGTTCACGTTCAAGGTCAGATGATTGTTTCCACACCATGCCACAAAGCGCTCCACCAGCTCTCGGTACTCAGCTTCCTGTCCATCTCTGATACACCCGACAACTGCAGAGTCATCTGAGTATTTCTGTAGATGACAGGTCTCTGACTTGTACTGGAAGTCTGAGGTGTACAGGGTGAAAAGGAATGGTGAGAGTACAGTACCCTGTGGTGCTCCAATGTTACTGATCACCTGGTTTGATGTGCAGTTCTTCAGCCTCACAAACTGTGGTCTGTTTGTCGGGTAGACTTTAATCCAGGCGATAGTTGAGGCCCCCAACTGTGTCTTCTGGAGTTTCTGGCAAAGTACATCAGGCTGGATTGTGTTAAATGCACTGGATAAATCAAAGAACACGACCCTTGAAGCGACAAGGAGATCTGTAAACAAAGGACACTCAAGATGTGTCTTCAAATACGTCCTGATTTTTGTGAATTTGGATGGGTGATCGCAGGATTCTTAGCAGGCCAAGCGGGAGATTTTTGTTCTTTAACGGAGAGATAGGGTCGTTTTAAACGCAAATCTATTCATATCAGGTGGTCCAAAGATCAAATGCCTAAAGCAG